CCTAGTGTGGGAAAATAGTCATCCATGGCAGCCGCCTGAATGCTTTTGAAACGGATGTGACTGAAGTCGTTTCTAGAACTTTGTGGTCATTGTTTTAGTGTCATAGTCCCTTCAGTCCTGAGTTTTGTGGTGCTAGCTTTGATTTTTTTTTTGAATGTGAATTTAAAAGAGAAGAAGGTAAACCGGTCAGGAAGGTCTGCGGGCACCACCATGCTAGGGGCTGAAAGAAGCCCGGGGGCAGCAGCGCCTCCTAGCGGTGAATGGTGGTCACTGGGTCACACGCTAGGCACCTGACGCGGGGGCGGGGCAAAGAGGAGCAGGAAACCCGGAATTTAAGTTTCTCTGGTCTAGTTTCGCGGTGCTTTAGGCTTCAGGCTTCTGCTGTCCCAGACGCCCTAGACGCGGCTTCAGTCCCCGCCGGCCTTCGCCTCCCAGATGGCAAGAGTCTGGGTCTGCGTGGGAGGTGCCGTCTTCCTTCTTTCCTGTCTGGTTTTGCATTCGTGCTACAGCGGCTCTCTGGTGAATAGCGGGGATGGGGCTTTCGGGAGTGGGTGACGCCGAGAGCTGCAGCCCCAGAGGCACCAGACCTGCTCTCGGGGCTCAGTAGCTGGCCACTCGCCTTCTCTTTTAGTATTAAAAAGTGTGTGTCGGGGCTGGGGAGGTGGCGCGGAGGTCGAGAGCGCTTGCACAGACAGGGCAAGAGTTCGATTCCCAGCACACTCTTCCATTGTAAGGAACTCCAGTTCCAGGGGACCCGATGCCCTTTCTGGCCTTTGTTGGTACATGGGTGTGCTTAAACTCGCTCGGGATCACACACATGCGTCTAAATAAAACTAAACACGTCCTAAAAAAAAAAAAATAGATCCATATTGGATTTTCTTCCCCAGCTCTTATAAGACTGTTGAGCCATTTGCAGACTTTTTAATGTGGTTGTTTTGGTCTTTAGACGTAAAAACCCTGTTTATCTGGAGTTATTCTGGCTACCTTCTGGTTGTGAAGGCAAGCTGTAAAGATAAATAAAAGATAGGCACACGTGTACTTTTTTTTGTTTTGTTTTAACCTGGAAGGAAAACTGAATCTGAGGTTTATTTTATTTTTACTTAAGGTTTCAAGGACATTTGCTTTTTACATACCATGGAGAAAGGAGGATACTCTTTTCCGGCTGGATTTGGGTTGGCCCAAGTATTCAGAATACTTCACTGGTTCGACATTTTCTGTTGCGGTTGACTCCCTCAACGGGTTAGTTTACGTAGCTCAAGTAAGTAGAATGAATATTATCTGTGAGCCTGTGAGTTACAGAGAGCAGAGTGTGAATGTGAAGATCTGAGGACAACTTGTTTGGCTTTGGTTTTCCCATCTTTGGAAAGGTTTCAGAGATGGAACTCTATTGTCAGGCTTGCTCAGCAAACATTTCTATCTGCCCAGCCATCTCCCCAACTACAGATACCTTTTTAGATTATGCACATTCAGTTTGATCACAACAAAAAGAAAGAACAGTCATCCTGAGCATGACAAAAAGAAAAAAAATAACAGTAACAGAAGTGACTTGCCACCCTAGATAGCCAATTGCATTTATATTTTTATTTTTATTACACTTACGATAATTATGCACCTTAATTTTGAGTTGGCTTCAAGTACATATTTTAGATTTGTATGTGATAGATGTTATTGTTAAGTCGTGAAGTTACCTTTTTACACATTACTAATGATCCTTTAATTTTGATTTCTCTGAAAAAAATAAAGGTTAGCATTCCTATTAAGTGATTCTAAGCAGTTATTTTTGTATGCCTTCAGAGAGGGGATAACATCCCCAAGGTATTAGTGTTCACAGAGGATGGATATTTCCTACGAGCCTGGAATTACACAGTTGACACACCCCATGGTATGTTTGTCTCCGGCACACCATATGAACAGTCCGTCTGGATCACGGACGTAGGAAGTGGTATGTGTCAGTATTGTCTATTAAATTGCCTTTCTAGACGGAATTCAGATCTTTGCCCATGTTCTTGCTTATAGATTTTAAGGGTAGGATTGCTGAATCTAATGGTAATTTCTTTAATATTTCACGAAATCATGTGTTTCTACAAATCTATATCACATTCCTGTTGAATCAAGATATTCAGTGATGTTGTTAATCATCATCTTTTAAGCTTGTCAAGGGAACATGTATGCATGGTGGGGAGGGTTGTAGGCTTGAGTGTCATTCCTCAGGAATATTAGCCTTGTCTTTTGAAACAAGATCTCTCACTGGCCTGGAACTCACAAGCAGGCTAGTGAGCCCCAGGGATCTTCCTTTCTCCCCTGTGTCAATGCTGATTGGGTTTTGTTGTTGTTGTTTTTATTTATATTTTTGTTTATTTTTCCATACATGGGTTCTAGGTCTGAAACCCAGGTCCTGTGCTTGAGTGACAGGCATTTTCCTGGTAGACTGAACTATCCCTCCCTCCACCCCACCTCCCGAAAGTTCAGGATCTTTCTCCTCCTCTGCATTTGCTCATCTCAAAGTAACACTAACCTCCTCTGTACAAACCTGATGGCAGTGTTTCAGAGGAAATCAGTGGACTGTTAACTCCCCTTTATACCAGCTGTCTTTTGCAAGAGTGAACCAAGTGACAAGAAGCTGTAGTTTGTTGCCCAGAGAGAAAAGATTTGCAGAAACTTGTGTTAACAGTTTCTACATTCCGTTGATTTGAGCGTGTCTGAAATCTTCTCACCGTGAGATGTCTTTAGATGACAGTGTTGGAAACAGAGTAGGCTCCATAGCTTCGAGGCTGCAGGGGAACTTAGCAGAGACCACCCTCCACCTGTGCTACTGGTGTGTCAGCAACACCAGCGTCAGTGTCTAATGATGGTCCAGCAGGCATGGCTTCGTCAGGAGGGTGTTGCTAGAGTCCCTTGGTCTGGTTATGTCTGTGCCTTGAAGGACATCCTGCTTCCCAGTGTTTGGTAATTCACATACCACTTTTTAGAATCAGTAAAGTGTGGGTTTTTAGGAGTACAACTGTTGTCACCCTTGTTCACAGGATGCAAAAGATTTCTGGGCTTCAGATAGTGAGCAGGCGATCTGTTTTGTTTAGTCTTTATTTTGGAAGGTAAATGTTGGTTAAACATCTCAAGACTGGCAGTCAAAGTGTGTTAAGGCCCCCTTTTCTGAGATTTTACTTATTAAAAGCATCATGTAGGGGACAGTAAGCCACGCCTGTTAGAGGCTGGCTACAGGTGTGCTTGACCATGCCTGTCAAGGTGTGGTCAAGGTGAGGTCAGGATGACTCGGGATGGGTCTTAAGGGGCTTCGAGCACATGGGAAGCCCCTTCTTCTCTCTGGCCTCCCTGCCTTGATGCTCCTGGCACACACTGCCTTGGGTTTGGCTGGTGTTTACTGAATAAAGATATCTTGACCTTATTGACTACGGATCGTCTTCGATCTCGTTATAGCATCACTTTTCATCTTTCTTCCTTTTATCTCTCTTTTCCTTCTTGTAGGTTCTTGCCAAAGTCTGGGCATGCTTTTCTGAATACTCGCATCCCATTCCGCCTGAGGCTGCCTTGAGGCTGCATGGCTTCCTCAGTTCTTCTTTGTCTTCTCTCAAGCAGCTGTTGAGATTTACAGCTTGCCTCCCTGGAGTTTTCTCTAAACTCTTAGGAAAATTGGCCTTAAACTTAAAAGTGGATCTAGGAGTGGGAGAGATGCTCTGTGGTTTAGAACACTTGTTCTTCCTGGGGACCTGGGTGCAGTTCCTAGCACCACATGGCAGCTCACAACCGTCTGTAACTCCAGTTATGGGTGAGCTCATGCCCTCTTCTGGTCTCGATGGGTACTGTACACATACATGCAGTTAAACACTCATATACAGAAAGAAAAAAAAAAAAACTCTTAAAGTATATGAGTTTATGCAATACTGTAGCTTTGACTGTTTTCTCTCTTCTCTGTCCCCAGAATTCACTTGAAAGACCTTTATCTTTAATTTATTCCGTTCATGTCATTCTTTAAAAAGAAGAAAAAGAAAAACTTCAGTAGTTCCCAGAAGTAAATGCAGCGCAGATGATCTCATTCTTTCCATTGTGTCTTGTTTCCACCCTCATATCCCAGAAACTATTTTTATGCTCTTCCCATTTTTCAAATGATTGATTTCTTCAAATGAAAATTTGGCTGCAAGCCAACCACTTAAAAAATTGTAACTACTCCATCTCCCTTTCCAAGTCCTTAGAAACTTTGAGGTGTGCTGTGTCTGATACGTTCTATTCTCTGTGGCTAAAAACTTGAGCTCCAGCATTCAGATACAGTGCATGCTCAAGTGGTGCTCCAGGTAGACTTGTAACGTGGGCAGACTCACTTGACTTCTGCTAAATCAATCTTCGGATGCCTGTCGGTTACTCTGGCCTTCTGTGCCTTCAACTGGCACCGCTAAACTGCAGCATGGTTTCCCTTATGTGCTCTTATTTCTTTGCTTTTTAACTTGTAATGTCATTTTATTGCCAAGATTATTTTTCTCTAAAAAAATGATCAATTTTGACTTTGTTTCTGCTAGGAGAAAATGTAATTTTTTTAAAAAATCTGTTATTTATAGAGAATTTTTTTTGTTGACTTCTGAAAATTTAAAACCTGCATATGGATGACTGAAATAAGAGCTTTGAATGTAAGTTGCTTGTTTTTTTAGTTCCTTCTTGATTTATTTTACAGTGTGTTTCAAAAGAGGAAAATGCACAAATTATCCTAAGCTTTCTGTGTCACAAGCCGGCATTTTTGTAGTATTCTTTTGTGTATAGAGTCTCCTGATTTTAGAGTGACTAGATATTAATTCATCACCAGGTTTGCTCAGACCTTATGAAGGGCTGCTTGCTGTCACCTGTTGGCTTCTGTTGTCATTCCAGCGCAGTGAAAGATTTGCCTATAGCTTACAGAAGATGTCAGTGCTGAGCAATGCTCCTAACACATGCTTGTCTGTTTCTACAGGAGCCTATGGTCATACTGTTAAAAAATATAATTCCCTGGGTGATCTTGTTCAAGTCTTGGGTACCCCAGGCAAGAAGGGCACTGGCTTGAACCCACTGCAGTTTGACAACCCTGCAGAATTATATGTAGATGACACGGGAGAGATTTACATTGTGGATGGAGATGGGGGATTGAATAACAGACTAGTCAAACTGTCCCAAGGTAAATGCTGTAACTTGCTATGATCATAAGAATATTATTTTATAAACTGAATTTGATCTGTTTGCTGCTTAGCATAATGTAGCCATATTGTACATGAAGCTGTGTGTAAAGGGCTGAATTCATGAAAAACAGATTGGTGGGATTGCCAACAGCAAATGATTCTGCTCATGAGCTCCATGTTCACCAGGGCCCACAGATGCCTCCTAGGGACTGGAGTGGTTTGAGTATTTAAAAGACTTCTGAGGGTTTCCTGTCCTGTATATGTTGAAGAAGCCAGGAAGCTGGATCCTTGCCAGGCTTCCTTCAGCTGCCCTCTTCCTGTGATTTCCTCATTGTGTCTCTGACTCCCACGTCTCCCTCTTGAACAATTCAGGGCCTACTGTAAATCCAGGATAATCTCATGGTCTTTAGTTTAATTGCATCTTTAAAGTCCTGCACCCAGCCTGGCAATGGTACTGCACGCCTTTAGTCCCACCACTTGGGAGGCAGAGGCAGGCAGATCTCTGTGAGTTGGAAACCAGCCTGGTCTACAAGAGCTAGTTCCAGGATAGCCTCCAAAGCCACAGAGAAACCCTGCCTCAAAACAAAACAAAACAAAAAAACCCAAAAAACCAACCAACCAAACAAACAAACAAAAAAATCCTATACCCAAAGGCTACATTCCCAGGTGTGATGTGTTAGGAGTGGACTAGTCTTTTTAGAAGGAATTCAGTCCACTAGACTTATTGACTCTCCTTTCAGAGACTAGAGGGAAACTATAAAAATATAACAGTAGGTGTGGTGGTACACACCTGTAATTCCTGCACTCAGGAAGACTGGGGCAGGAATATTGTTAGGAATTTGAGGCCAGCCTGAACTACATGGTACAAGGCCAGCCAGGACTACATAATATGATTCTCTGTCTCAGGAAAAGAAAAATTTGAAAAACAAATGAACTTTTTGTACAAAGCGAACTAGTTTGAAGGAAATGATGCAGGAACTCTGAACATTGCTTCAGAAGTTGGCAGAGCAGCTCAGGCAGAGCTAATTAAAACAGAAGGAACACACAAACCAGACAGACGTAGACAAAGCCAGGGAAGAATACTCAAGTTCTCAGTGTAATACTCGTTGGTTTTTGTTGTTTTGTTTGTTTGTTTGTTTGTTTGTCTTTTGCAGTTTGCAAGACAAAATTAATATGTAAATGTGTAAGGCATTTGCAAGACAAAATTAATATGTAAATGTGTAAGGCATTTTATATATTTCACTGTTCATATATGCTAACCATTTATAGATTTTCTGATCCTCTGGCTGCATGGAGAGAATGGAACGGGACCTGGCAAGTTCAACATACCTCACGGTGTTACACTTGACTCAGTTGGTCGGGTAAAAACACAGCCTCCTTATGTTTGGAACAGCATGCATGTGGGTGGGTGGGTGGGTATGTCTGGATGTGTGGGCCTGTCCTGGTGTATGTATCTGGGTGTGTGGACTTGTGTATTAGCAGGTGTTCCTGTTTAATTTCTGTTGCTGTGATAAACAAACAAACCTGATGGAAAGCCAGGTAGGGAGAAAGAGAAGTCAAGGCAGGAACTTCAGACACATCTGCTGTTAAGTCAGCAGCAGAAGGGAAGGAATGTACATATACATGTACACTTGTGCTGGCTTGCTCACACTTTTACATTATTATACAACTCAGCACCCCCATGACCTAGGGAATGATGTCACCCACAGTAAGCTGAGTGTCCCCATGTCAATTAAGGCAACCAAGACAATCTCCCCTCAGATGTTCCCACAAGCCAACCTGCTGTAGACAGTGCTACCTGGGAGATCCTAGCTTATATCAAGTTGACAGTTAAAGCTAACCACAGTAGGCATGTCTGGGTAATTTCTCCAGAGCTGGCTGTGTGTGCACACTTACTCTTTAAATGTTTGAGTCCTATTCCGAGGAAGTCCTCCAAATACTTAGAAATGAGTAGAACAGATAAGTCAGTAGTCATTAAATGATAAGAGGAACAGGTAATAATTCTAAAACCTGAACAGAATTCTGCCTTCTGCTAGGAAAACCATATTGTAAGTGTTTGAAACAACTCTAGTTCACAAGGGGAAGAAAAGCTGCACTGATGGAAATGGGCAAATGAGTGCTGGAGGCTAAACCTGAAAGTTTGAGAAGAGCTCTCTCTGCAAATCCTTGCTCTTTCTGTTTCCTTCCTTCCTTCATGGGGACAGACCGCCTCCACCAGGGAACGGAACTGTTCCCTGCTTCCCAGCCCCAGCTACTGCCCCCTCCCCCAGGCTTTTCCTCATCCTTTAAGCAGAGATACTGCTTTTTGGGATTGTGGGTTTACCTTCCAGCAGGCAAGTCTCCATCAGCTGTGTTTAAATTTTCCACCTGTTTCCTGTCGTAGCAGTGCTTTGCATTACAGCCACTGCTGTTACGTCATCACAGATGCTCCTCTAGAGATTGCAGGTTTCTGTGGGCACAAGCTGGGTGGAGTTTGCTTCATCTCCACAACTAGTTCTGAGGGGCCATACCTCTGTTAAATAAGCAAGCATTTTGTACCGGGCGTTGGTGGCTCACTCCTTTAATCCCAGCACTCAGGAGGCAGAGGCAGAGGCAGGCGGATCTCTGTGAGTTTGTGACCAGTCTGGTCTACAGAGCAAGTTCCAGGACAGCCTCCAAAACAATACAGAGAAACCCTGTCTCGAAAAACAAAAATGAATTTCTACTTTGCAGAGCATGAGAGATCTAGACACAATCAAATTTACCATGGTGAGGAAAGTTCTTAGGGGCCAGCAAGATCATTTGGAGGGACAGCCTGAGATTGCTCAGTGGTGATAAATGACAGCCCATTCTCTACATACTTGTGGATCTTGTTTGTCCATTGCTGCTGCTGTAGGGAAAAGACCCAGTGCCTTTCACATGCCAGGGGGCCTCCCACTAGTATAGTATAGGAGAAAGTATATATACTTTCTCCTAGTATAGGAGAAAGCTAGAGACACCCACCTGTTTGGGCACCAGCTTCTCACTGCCCCATGTCTGTGTCTGTTTGGAAAAGCAGTCAGTGGCTATTTACACCAATGAAGATAAAGTCGGTCTCTCTAGGCTACAGAGACCCAAGAAAGAGAAGGATCTGCTAGGGATGTGGTCTGTATTGTCAGATGAACCTAGAAATGTATAATTCCCATGAATGCTACTGAGAACAAACCTGAGCACACTGTTTTATTACAGGAGTGTCTCAGTAACTCAATATAGGCTATAAAAACTGAAATTAAACTCATTATGCTGTATGTGTTACTAGCAGGCCCAAGCTGCCTCCTCTTAAGTCACTGTGTACTTTGGACCCATCCCAGTAGTAATGATAGTGGTTTAAGGTGACAATGGGAGAGTAAACACCGGAGCCTCCTGGTGGCAAAGCTGCTTTTCTTTGTTTTGTGACCTGGCTTAGGAGCTAGCTCAGTTGTGCATTGATGGTGACAACTGTTAGAGGACTGGGTGAGTCTGCCCCTTGTCAGTGTCTTTGATCCTTTGCACAGTGGCGGTGGACTCAGGACTTAAGTCACTTGCGTGTTTAATGTGGCTGATGGCCCTAAGGGCTTTGGACGGAGGCAGATAGATGCACAGTAGACTGAGGCATTCACACTTGTTAGTGCATTTCAGACAAGGTGTTTAACCCCTCTGAACATGGAGTTTAGTGATGCCATTTTCCCTTGGGTCCTCTAAACACTGAGACAATGGTGTGGAGTTAATAAAACAGTCATGTTTCTTCTCGTGGTGTGGGTCTCTTTCAGCTGACGTGATTTTGGTTTCGCAGGTGTGGGTTGCTGACAGAGGAAATAAAAGACTCCAAGTATTTGATAAAGACACTGGAGAGTGGTTAGGAGCATGGGACAACTGTTTCACAGAGGAGGGGCCTTCGGCTGTTAGGTAATCATTGCTGTTTATTTTAAGTGCTGTTTTAGCTGGTTGTGGGACCCACTTCTTCTGAAGAGCAGTTGAAAGTTTCTGGTGTTTGTTGTTAATTTTAAGGAGGGAAAATGGAAGGAAACAAGTGTCCAAAGAAATGTCGGAGCATTTTCTAATCCTTTGGGAGATTTCCAATTATGGAAGGAGGCTAAAGCTTGAGACCACACTGTTGACCTCCCGAACTTCTGACTCTCCGTTTTCTAGTTATGCTGTGCTTGTTTTAATGTAGGCGTAGCTTTAGCTTCATCTACCATCTCAGATTTCTACACTATTCCGAATCCTTCAGGCAGTGATGGCCACTGTTGAGCCCTGCAGAGGACACAGACATTGAAAGAATGATCGTGATTATTGAATTCTGCTTCTTCTCAGGTTCACCCCGGATGGGAAGTACTTGATCGTGGCTCAGTTGAACCTCAGCAGGCTGTCCATTTTGGTGGCCCCACCATCTGGAAGCATCGGAGACTGTTCTGTGGTCAGCACCATCCAGCTGGCAGATCAGGTTCTGCCACATCTTCTAGAAGTTGACAAAAAGACCGGAGCAGTCTATGTAGCAGAAATTGGGGCAAAACAAGTGCAAAAATACGTTCCATGGCACAGCCATGCCCCTGCCTTTGGGGCTTAGTGCATCCTTCCTGAAGGGGCTTCAAGTAGCAGTTCAACGCCTCAGAGTCACTGTGTTTAAAGTCATTAAGGCACAGGGTCAGTTTTTACCTCTCCTACCAGACAAGTGTGTTGGGATGTCATTAAGAGTCATGTTTTCTGGTGGTTCTCGGGCCTTAGTTTTACAACTAATTGTGTAAGAGTGTTTTGGTTTGTTTTTTTTCCTTTTTGTTGGGCCTGGATGTTGAACTCATGGCCTGATGCATGATAGCTAGGCTGCTGCCCTAGCTCTGAGCTGCATCTTCATGTAAGTAGCTTTTGAAAAAAGAAATGCAGTTCTAAAATGGGCTCATGAAGGGGAACTGTGATTGTAACCAAGTTACTTGGATTGGTTGATTAACTCTCTGGGCTCCTAGGATAACCTTTTGATTTCATTTTCATCGGGAGAACTGGAAACTACTGGTTTGTTTAACTTCTGTAAAGTGGACTGTGAGTGATTGTGAATGGTTGGGCTGCTGAGTGATTTAATGCATGCAGAGTGCCATGCCAGGTCCAGAGGATCCTAAAGTAAGGGAGCAGCATTGTCTGCTTGTGGTCCAGCAGAGAAACAAGTGGGAATGGTGACAGCAGGAGCAAGAGGACCATGACAGACAGGATGAACCATGCAGGGTGGGTTCATGGAGACTTCAGGCAGTGGCAGCTTGGGCTCATTGGCCAAGAGATGAGTGAGAAAAAGGCAACAATACCACTCAAGTAGAGAAGGCCTAAGATTTACATCCCACGAGTTCTGAGGAAAAGACAAAACAAAGGTTTGGTCTTTTTGCTACAAAATGCTTAATGTCACCCTTTACAAGTAGGACTACAACAGCCAGCATCTAAGCACTTTACTAAAATGAAGATTTGCCAATGGTATTTTAAGAGTTAATGCTAGCAATAAGTTCCCCCACTCACTATTGTCCATTTCAGTTTTTAGAATAAACTCACTTTGCTACTAGCACTTATCTACCTCCAAGATACTCTAGGAGAGTTGGGACCATTCACAGGGAAGTGTGCTAAGCACGTGGAGGTCTGAAGGTAATTTCCCTGCCTCCCCAGCCTGCTCTTGTCCTATCAGAGTGCTGGCCTTCAGATGCACATTTGTGTTTTTCAATCTGTTCTGGGTTATTCTAGACTTTGAGGGAACCCTTTTCCTCTCAGAGTCTTTTGATCGTCCATCCCCTTTGCTCCATCAGTGTCCCTCCCTGAGCCAGTATTACATGGTGACTTGTGTGGCACTGGGGACGAGTAAGCTGACCCACTGCAGCTGAAGGAGCTTGGACCTGATTTGGTACATGGGTTACATGTAGTGTTGGAAGAAAAGTGAGCCTCCAGTAGAAATGTATTGCATCCCAAGGCTCTTAAATGTGTCCCTGTCGCTCACCAGACTGATTCTGAAGTCACTTTAGTCTTCTTTTAGTACCAAGGGAACATCATTCTTTTCTCACTCACTACTGCAGCGTGGATTGGATTTGCAGCAGGCACAGATGTCTGGAGCCTGGAGTACATTGAAGGATGTTCTGAGATGACCTTCCAACTGTCATTATTTGCATTCAGGTTTGCCTGACTGTTCAAGGCTTCTACAAAATGAATCTTCATAGAGTTTATGCATTTGCTAATAACCAGTTGACTTGGATGGAAACAAGCAATGTGAAGCTTGCTTTGTTGGTGAGCCAGAAAAGACATGCAGGGTCCTCTTTGAGGGAGAGAAGGTTAGCTGAACTGCCTTTGTTATTTCTACAGTATTTTTCCTTAGCTTGTTTTTATAATAGAGGATTTTTATGAGGATTCTATGCATAGATACTTAGTGTTTTGATCAACTCCATCCTTCAATCTCCCCCCTTGAGTTCCCCGCCCCCCAACTTCATGTGCTTGTGTTCATTCTGAGTAAACTTGGTGCTGCCTGGTTGTGCATGGGTAGAGGACAATCTAGTGCAGCAGGGGTAGCCTTTTAGGAAACATGTTCCCCAAAAGGTTCTCCCTCCACCAGCAGCCATCAGTTCCCAGTAACTAATTTCTCCTTAGGGCTAGGTGTTATGAGCCTCACCCGGCTCTGTGCTGGGACTGTGACTGGTGTGGTCTTGTACCTGCAGTCATGGCTGCTGTGAGTTCTGTGTGCTGAACTTTTGTGTCCAGCAGACGCTTTGCTGCAGACATCTACCACCTTTGTCCTCTTCTGCATTGACCCCAGAGGCTTTGGGAATGTTGTGGGTGATGGAGATGTCCCATTTAGAGTGGACGAGTTCAGTCTCTTATTCTCTGCATTTGGACCAGTTGTGGGTCTCTGTGTTAATATCCATGTATTCAAAAAAAAGCTTCTCTGATGAGCATTGAGAGATAAATAATCTATAGGTATGAAGATGAGATCTTCACAGGGACAGTTTATTACTGCATCCCTTTCCTGGGGGCTATGACCTACCCAGCCATAGGTCTTTAGCCAGTTAACAGTAGCAGGCAAGGCTTCCATCTTGTACCAGCTTGATGTCTTCTTTACAGATTCTTATAAAACTTACTGAGAATATGGTTCCTGATTGTCTTAAAAGACCTGCTTACAATCAAAGTATTTTACTCCCTGCCTTTGGATCAATTAGTTAAATAAATAAGAATTGTATTTTCTATTGGAACATTAAAGTTTTGCAAAGAAAAATTTATAAAACTTAGCTACTTATTTTAAGATTGGATTTTGGGTTTTTTGGGGGGGGTTGGTTTTGTTTTTTAAATAATAGAAGAATTTCAATGACCATAAGATCCCAGGTTGGGGAGTCTGGGCATGGTGGTATATATACATCTATAATTCAGCACACTGGAGACCACAGCAAGATCTGATCTCAGGTTGCAGACCAACCCAGCTGTCGACTAATGTTGGCTGCATAAACACAGGACTAAAGGCATTGCAGAGCTAAGAGAATTCTTTTACTCTGCCTCATAAAGCATATGCTGCTGAGGTGTTTCAGCTGGGCTGACATGGGCTTGGGGATTCTGTGGGTAGGGATTCGAACCCAGGTCCTCATGCTTGCCCAGCAAGTGCTCTAATCCACCTGTTAGTGTCACACAGTTGATACATTGCTAAATACATATTTTTATTCTTTTCAATTGTGTTCATGTGTGTATCTATCTATCTCTGTGTGGGTATGTGTACACTGCCCATGTCTAGGAAGGCCAAAACCATCTGATCCCCCTGGAGCTGGAATTACAGGCAGTTGTGAAATCAAACTCAATCCTCTTGTGAGAACAGAAAGGGCTCTTAACTTTGGAGCCTTCTCATCCCCAGGAGTCTGTATTTTGTTGTAGATCTGAAACTCTCAATGCCTTTGCTTCCTAGGTTTGTTCTTGACATAGAGGAGGAAGTGTTTTATACTAGAAAACCAAAGGCTGTGATTATCTTTCCTTCCAGTGGAGTAAGAATGAATTACTCCTTAAGATGGAGTGCTTGTCAGTCAGAGAGAACCTGGTTACTGTCTGATAGCAAAAACCAAGATGCAGGTAGCAGTCATATAAATGCTTCGTGTACCATTGTTGGAAGGCTAAGGTGACAAAGAACTAACTTGTTTTGCTTCTTCTGGTTTTTAGAGGTTTTTGAGTTTGATTTTATAGCTAATGAAACTGGGAACTCTTTAAATTTTTATTTCCTAAGCTCATTAAATTAAATCAGAATCATAGAAAAAAAAGCCTCTACTACAAACATGAAGGTTTTAGGACTAATGTCTATGAGAATAGCCACTCAGCTTTCTGGGGTAGGGTGCATTTGGCACCTGTGTTATAGCCTTTACCCAGAAGAGGGCAGGAGAGTTCTGCTTATGACAGGTGTGGCTTAAAATGGCTGGGGGAAATACAATGCCAGGTTTCCTTGTGCTTTTTTTTTTTTTTTTTTAAATTGAAACTACAGTATTGAACACACTTGTGGTTTCCCTTTGTTCTACAGCACACTTATATCCTGAGGAAGCTGGTGTACACCTGATGCACTTCTTGGTGTTGAACATTTTTATGGCTTTAATTTGTTTTTCTACAAGTAAAAGGAAAAGAGGTTTTAATTCAGTAATTAAAATAAAAATAAAATAGAAGTAGTAATAAAATAAAGTAGCAATTGGGACTAGCAGCCAGAAGTGAACTATCTGTTTACAGTTAAAGCTACATACAGTTGGATGGTGATCTTAGCACATAGGGGGTTCACAGGGTGAATATGCTCACTTATTCTTGCTGATTGGGTCTTTGAAGGATATTACTTGTAATTGTTGGTTAGTTTACAAATGAGAAAAGTGATTGATTTATTTATTTAAAGGGCCCAATTCATTTCTCTACATGGCCCTTAACCAACATGTGAGCTTATGGCATAAATTAATTACCCAGTCACCTCATAACATGGAGTTCTTCGTTCCACATGTAAGAGTTGAATGGAAGTTGAACAGTGTTTAGTTAGGGTTACTATTTCTATAATGAAACACCATGACCAAAGGCAGCTTGGGAAGGAAAGGGTTTATTTGGCTTACACTTCCAAATCATTGTTTATCACTGAAGGAAGTCAGAACAGGAACTCAAACAGGGCAGAAACGTGGAGGCTGGAGCTGATAAAGGGCCACGGAGGAGTGTTGCTTACTGGCTTGCTCCTCAGAGCTTGCTCAATGTGCTTTCTTACAGAACCCAGGACCATGGCCCCAGAGCAATGGACTGGGCCCTCCCCCATAAATCACCAAGAAAATGCCCTACATGCAAGTTCACCTACAGCATAATCTTAGGAGGCAATTTCTCAATTGAGGTTCCCTCCTTTCAGATGACTATAGCTTATGTCAGCATAAATACTAGGGTTAAAATTGATCCCTAGTTTAGCCGGGCGTTGGTGGCGCATGCCTTTAATCCCAGCACTTGGGAGGCAGAGGCAGGCGGAACTCAGGTGAGTTCAAGGCCAGCCTGGTCTACAGATCAAGTGCCAGGATAGGCTCCAAAGCTACACAGAAACCCTGTCTCGAAAAACCAAAAAAAAACCAAAAAACAAAAAACAAAACAAAAACAAAAAAATTGACCCCTAGTTGGAGCCCCTTTTGAGGGCCTTATCCTGCCTGGGGAGTGGAGGGGGGATGGCTAGGGGCAGGTGGGATGTTGGGGGGGAGAGGTGGGAGAGGGAGAAGAGATTGACATGTGAAGCAAGCTTGTTCCTAATTTGAACTAATAAAAGAAAAAAAGAAAAAAAAAAGAAAAAATTGACCCCTAGTCACAGAAATGCATTGTTAAGCCATAACCTTTCCATTCTGGTCACCCACAATACCATATATTAATAAGTATCACAATATAAAACATATTACAAATTTAGACGTCTTTACAAATTCAAACACTTTTAAAGTTGTCTCTTTAGCTGGGCGGTGGTGGTGCACACCTTTAATCCCAGCACTTGGGAGGCAGAGGCAGAGGCAGGGGGATCTCTGAGTTCGAGACCAGCCTTGTCTATAAGAGCTAGTCTATAAGGACAGCCTCCAAAGCCACAGAGAAACCCTGTCTGGAACCTAGCCCCCACTTCCCCCCAAAAAAGAAAAAGTTGTCTCTTTAAAAGAAAATCCAGGGGGCTAGAGATAGCTCACATATTAAAAGCACTGGCTGTTCTTCCAGAGGCCCTGAGTTCAATTCCCAGCAACCACATGGTGACTCACAACCATCTATAATGGGACCCAATGCCCTCTTCTGGTATGCAGAAGTACATGCAGCCCGAGCACTCAAACATTTAAAAAATAAATTAATAAAAATAAAATCCACCCAGCACTCTGGAGGCAGAGGCAGGCGGATCTCTGTGAGTTCAAGGCCAGCCTGGTCTCCAGAGCGAGTGCCAGGATAGGCTCCACAGCTACACACAGAAACCCTGTCTCGAAAAACCAAAAAATAAAAATAAAAAAAAAAAATTAAAAAAATCCAGTTTCTTTCTAAAAAGCTCAAAATCTCTCAACTATGGGCTCTTGTGAAATCAAAATAAGCTAAATAATTTATTCCAAGAGGGAAGAACCAGGGCACAGTCACAGTTAAACCAAAGTAGAACCAAACTCCAACAATGTAATAACTCAGTGTCTCACCTCTGGATTCACTTAAAGGGCCAGGTCACTTCTACAGCTTCATCCTCTACTGCCCACATAGTGTGTCTCCTAAGCTCCGGTCAGCTCCAATCCACTACGCTGCTGGTCTTGGTAGCCATCCGATCCAACATGCTGGAGTCTTCTGCTACTGGGCTGCACTTTCACCAATAGCATCTCCTGGGCTCTCTTCAAGGCTTGGGGAGGGCCTGGGGCCCGGGCCGGGGCTGGTGCCACGGAAACAGCTGAACAAGTGGGAGCTCACAGACCCGAGTCTGACAGCTGGGGAACCAACATAGGACTGAACCAGGCCCCCTGAACGTGGGTGTCAACTAGGAGGCCCGGGCAGTCTTTAGGGCTCCTGGCAGTGGGACTAGTATTTACCCTAGTGCACGAATGGACATCGGACTTCGGGAGCCCATTCCCCATGGAGGGGTACTCTCTTAGCCTAGATACAAGGGAGAGGGCCTAGGCCCTGTCCCAAATGACTTGACAGACTTTGATAATCCCTCTGATAGGCCTCACCCTCCCTGGGGAGTGGATAGGGGATGGGATGGGGGGAACGAGAGCATGGGAAGAGAGGAGGGAGAAGGAACTGGGATTGATATATAAAATAAGATAGTTTCTAATTTAAATAAAATTTATAAAAAATAAGAAAATTTTTGAAAACTTTAAAAAAGAAGTAGATTTGTTAATTGAGCTTAGGAAGAGGGAGAACTGTACATGAACATGTCCAGACTCCCTAAGTTAAAATTCCCAAGCTTCCTTTTTTATGAAAAACATTGTTTTGGAAATAACTCTTATGATCTTGCCTCCTGCAGACAAGACATTTTTGATAGTCGTGATGGCTATTCTTGGAAGTCAAACTAACTACCTCTGGAATAAGCTAATACACAATGAATTGGGTATACCCGTGAGGGATTTTACTTAAAGGTTTTGAAATGGGAAACCTTTCATTAATCTGGATCTTTTGAGGTTTTAAGACTGCCCTTTCTTCTGGGTCAGACCTTCTGTTGGCAGCCTACATATATAAAGTCTATTGAGGAAGAAAGCACTTGCTCTTTGCCTGATTGCCCTGGCTTTGACTGGGCATGTCATTCCTTCACTCTCTTTAGAACCCAGTTCTTAGGAATTCTGGTATATACTGAAGACCATCTGAGACATCCAGCCTAATGAATTAAAGAACTACTGAATTCTGGACCACAGTCTGTTGGACATTCTAATAAATTCCCTTTCTAAGTACATACAGAGATTTCTTCTATCAGTTGTGTTTTAGCAGAGAACCTTCACTAATACTGCTGTTTTTTTTTTCAGCTGCCCACAGAGTAAGATGTGCTAGCTAACAACAGTGCTCATAAAGGCATTCTTCCTTACTCCATTTCCAAGTATTCAACTTACTGTGAAAACTACAGTTTTTATTATTGTCAAATTGTCAAGAGACTGAAATGAATTGCAGAAGAAAACTCCTAAAGCAATGGAGCCATCATCAAGCCTTTTGATGGGGGAAAGAGCTGTTTGTGATCTGGTTCCTGGTTTTCTCTACTGGCCATCTGAAGTCCTTGAGACAACTAGATTAAAAAGCACCTTCAGGGTCTTTCCTAGCCATCTGCCATGGTGGATGGATGAAAGGCCCGAGCTAACATGGGGTTAGCTCTTTAAACAACTGCAATAAAACCTCGTGCGGTTTGCATCAAAAAAAAAAAAAAGTACCTTCAGTTTACTTGACCCCCAGCATGAAGCCACAGAACAACATCTCCTTTTTCCTCTTAAAATCTCTCTTAATTGCTAATATTTTGCACACCTTTCCTCCTGGGGGAAAGGGAATCATTCTACTCCACTTTGTGTAATGGGCTGTGCTCCTAGCCACATTGCATCCAGGAGGAAGAAGGGGAAGAAAGAGCCTGTGGAGTACAGGAAGATGGCAGGGTAAACTATTGGAGACAAGGCAAATGCTACTGAAATGTTGATCTCTTTACATTTGGATAAATCTGTGTGTGAAGCAGAAGGCAGGGCCAGGAATCACTGTGCTGTGTCTTTAAGTAC